ATTCAGATGAATAATTAATTAATCTTTTTTTTAATGTATCCACGTTTAAAAATTAAAAAATTATTATAATTTTAATTTAGAGAAAGGAATATTTCGTGTCGAAGCTAAGGAGCTGAAACGTTAAACGAAATAGAACACGGGATCTCTGGATAAAAAAACGCTCAGTGACAGTGGTTAAATATATACCGCCAAGGGAGAGAGAGAATGAAGATGGGGGGTGTAGGGTGGAACTGCATTTGTACACGTTCATATATCGACTTTCCTCCTACCAGATCTATTTTTGACATGAATATCTGTTCTATAAATAAAGAATAAATAACGACTAACGGACGAGCATGTAGAGTCACCAAGGACCAGGCTAGCGAGAACGAGAGAGATTAGGATGCAGATGTTAAACGTATGTTCGATAATCATTAGAGTACGTTATGAATCATGCGCACGTTATGCGGGAGGGGTTATTGCACAGCCTGTAACTGGTGTTATTGATCGATAGAAGCGTTGGAAATGGATGGACGAAAATGGGGAATCTTGGCGTTAATGTTAAATCATCTAATTAATAAAAGATGAAGAATTCTTTTGTCCAAGATTTATCTGCACCCGTTTTCACTTTCGTTTCGAATACATCATTGAAAAGTAAGAACGAATTCATTGTACATGCGGGGAGAGACGGATTACAATGATTATGCAAGCATGAGGAAGCCGAGGAGGATATATATATATATATATATGGCCGCGGCGTTTAACCGTCTTCGAGTTGATACGCGAAAGCTGAAAGGCCTACGACAATGTACGATGGCACGAGCCAAGTGGAGGGTTGGGGTTGCAACGCGTTTCACTCGGGTACCCACCACCAGTATACTCGCGTATGTTCGTATATTCGATTGGCGATGGTAAGCATTCGGCTACACAGTGCCAGGTGGTGACTGTCGTCCCATGTGTGCTCATATGTCTGCCCCCTGAGCCCTTACCTTCCCCTAGTGGGGTAAGTGCCGACCCCTTGGAATATCCAGGAGCACGGGAGACACCAGAGGCACACGTTAGCGCCCCATCGTTTTCCTCTGGCCTCTATCGTTCAACGCTCTAGTACCCGACTACACCTAATTGCTCCTGTTGTTCTTGCACTCCTATACTTTCTCCCTTGTCCTACCTCTTTCTTTCTTTATACCTCATTTTCATTCTACCTCTCCATTCATATTTATATCCTCCCTTTCATTTCTTCTACGATATCATTTTCCATCTT